AGGAAGGAAGGAAGGAAGGAAGGAAGGAAGGAAGGAAGGAAGGAAGGAAGGAAGACAGACTAGATGCATGCTATAGGAGTCAGAGTTTTCTGTAATCTGCAGTGGAAAAGAGTCTTTGCTGATTCAGTGGAATGTCCTACAATGTCTGGTCTGGTGCTGGGTTGCTGGGTATTGGACCCTGGACCTCATGCATGCTAAGCACTCTACCAACTGAGCTACATTCTCAGTCCTTGTACATGTCTTTGATGGATGTACGTTCTTTCTGGTTACTTCTGCAATTATCTGGGCCATGAAACAGCAAAATTAACAAAACTATGACATCACCATGAATAGGAGTACTCAGTCCCAGTCTGCAGGGAACACAGGGAGCAGTAACCAACAGCAGGTATTAAGCCATGCAGAGTCATCAAAAAGGCCTAAGGAAGGGGACTTGGAACCTAGAAACGCTCTGAGATGTGCTAGGATCCAGGTCCTTCCACTGGAAGTCTGAGTAGATAACCTCGTAACACACTCCCCAGCCAGGAAGCACAAGAGGACCACTCTGCTGTCTCAGCTTGGATCTCACACCTCCTCCTTCCCTACTGGGTTTTACTGCCTCTAAAACCCTTCTCCACCTGCAGCAAACTGCCAAAGAGGAACAACTGCCAGGCTTCCAAAGTCCACTTGGCAATCGGAATGCATTTCCTCTCAAAGGCGAAAAGAGATTCTTAGATTGACATAGTCCTCTGCTTCTAAAGTCAGATTGAAAGAAGATGCCATTTTGCTACATCCTAGCAAACTTTTCGAATTCTGGCATTGAAGAATGGAGCCTATTTCAGAATATAACACTTTTTTTTTTTAAACACAGTATTTTCAAACAGTTTATACAGAGTTGGATAGCTGGGGCTCTGCTTTAGAGCTAAGTGGGTGTCTGCAAGAGTCTTTATGGGGAAGAGATGTCTCACTAGTTAAGACAGAGGACCCGAGTTCAGTTCCTAGCACCCACATCTGGTGACTCACAACCACCTATAACTCCAGCTCCAGGGATTCTGTTACCCTCCTCTGACCTCTATGAACACTCACATACATATGTACATACTAACACAGACATATATACATACAACGACAGCAGAATTTACACATATCACCTCACAGACACACATACACACATAATTTTAAAAAAATAAAAATATTTTTTAAAAAAGTGTTTTAAAGTACTCTACATTATTAGAATTCTTGGCAGCAGATGAGAATTCTTTTTTATTTTTTATTTATTTTTTTCAGATGAGAATTCTTAAAGCTGGGAGTCACTCTTATACAGACAGGTAGACAGGTATGGCACATTGCGCGCGCACACGCGCGCGCGCGCACACGCACACACACACACACAAGGAGAGAGAGGTAAAATGGGCGAAAAGTCACATTCCTCAGTGTGGTGGTTTGAATGAGAATGACTCCCATAGACTCATGTATTTGAATGCTTGATCTCTAGTTGATGAAACAGTTTTGGGGTGATTTGGGAGGTGTGTCACTGGGGGTGTCTTTGAGGCTTCTAAAACCAGGGTCAATCCCAGTTAGCTCTCTCCCTCCTACTTTTGGACAAGGATGTAAGTAAATAAACTTTCAGTTACTGCTTCAGTGCCATGCTGCCTATTGTCATGCTCCTTGCAAAGATTCACTATGTAGTCTTGGCGTCGCTATACAGACCAGGCTGAGCTGGTCTATATTCATGAACTCATCCTCTGGAATTGTAAGGCTCCAGTAAACTGTTTCTTCTATAAGTTTGCTTGGTCATGGTGTTTTTTCAAAACAATAAAAAAGTAATTAAGATGCCCAGGGAGGCTTGGGCTAGTACTGAGGCCACGGCTGTCACAGGGCTAAGCTGTGCTATGTTCAAGGCCTAGATGACAGCAGGTTCTCCTCATCAGCAGGAGGGTTCTGTTCACTGTTGCTTTATAAATGTTAGTATATAACCAGAAAGAAAGCACATCCATCAAAGACAAGTACAAGGACTGAGAATGTAGCTCAACTGGTAGAGTGCTTGCCTAGCATGCATGAGGTCCAGGGTTCAATACCCAGCAACCTAGCACCAGACCAGACATTGTAGGACATTCCTTTAATCCCAGCACTCAGGAGACAGATGCAGGTGTAACTCTATGAGGCTGATACCAGCCTGGTCTATATAGTGAGGCCAAGACTACATCGTGTTTCAAAAAAATCAAAACAACACACACACACAACAACAACAACAACAATACTAGCACCACATATAGCCAGCAGTGATACATGCCTGTAATCCAACCATTCAGAAGCACAGGCAGGAAAATCAGAAGTTTAAAGTAATCTCATCCACTTAGCAAGTTTGAGACCAGCTTGAGCTACATGAGACTACCTCAAAACAAAACAAAGGGAAAAACAAAAACCACATGCACAAGAGTGCTCTGAAATGATAGAAGCTTTGTGTACAAGTAGCTCAAAAATAGTAAACACACAAATTCATGCCAAACAATAAAATCAGCTTAGAAATAAAAACAAGGACTAGAGAGATGACTCAGCGGTTAAGAGTACTGGCTGCTCTTCCAGAATCCTGAGTTCAATTCCTAACAACAACAGTGTTTTTAAGACATAAGCCAAGGGTGGTGGCGCATGCCTTTAGTCCCAGCACTCGAGAGGCAGAGGCAGGGGGATCTGAGTTTGAGGCCAGCCTGATCCACAAGAGTGAGCTCCAGGATAGGCTTCAAAGCTATAGAGAAACCCTGTCTTGAAAAACAAAAACAATAACAAACGAAAAAAGACATAAGAACCCAGGGAGTGACTTAAACCAGTTGTTGGTTTCTGAGCAACCAATACAGCTGACCATTTTTTATGCTTAAATCTAGTATTAAGGATGGAGCCCAGAGGCATATGCATAGTAGGTCAGCATTCTGACAATGAATTATACCCCCAGCTCTTAAATGCTTAAAGGCCAGTTTCCAATGGTAAACAATTTGTTGACCTCACTACCTGATTCCACAGGGAGCATTATTCTTACTTCTGAAACAAAGACTGAGACCCAGACAATCTAAAAGAGCCAGCGGCTAAGCACAGAATGGAATATTGAAAACCTGGGTCCTGTCTATCTAATGCCAAAAGTTTTCTTAGGAATGGCTTGCGCTGGAAGGGAAAAACACATTCATCCGACTGTATCCAGTTCCAATGTGGCTGAAATTTTTGCAAGTAAAGCCAGATGCTCCTAGCACCTCACTGGGAAAGGCGAGGAGGACCACAGAGAAATCAGAGGAAGGCCAGTGTGGGCGGAATCACTCCAGGGAACATGGTTAAAATTGCATTGGTCCAGGCCAACAATAGCTTCTATTAGAGAAGAAGTGGCCACACTGGGCAAGGACTTCTTTAAATAAAACCAGCAGTGACCACAAACCAATTATTAACTTGTTTTTAGCCTCCTTCCAAGGTGCTACGATCTTGCTGAACAACACTCACCATGTCCATGATCAGATGGCCACAAAGGAAACACCTGTCGGCAGACTGCTGAAAGCCAGAGTACTACAGAGAAGAGAAAAGAAAGATGATTCAGCCACCTCCCCACCAGCAGCGAATGGTGAGGGATTTCTGAGAAAACTGTGGTTCCCCCGAGGGTGTGCAGCTGAGTCACGGGCAGTCCTGGGCCACCCACCCCAGCGACTGCATCTGGGCCCCACACTGTGTCAAGCTCTGTATGACAGATGAACTCAGAGAGGCTTAAATCCGTCATCTCAAAGATTCACAAAACAAGATCCTTAGAATCACTTGGCAATGTGGAATAAATTAAGTTTACGGACTCCACCTCAGATTTACTAAGCTAGGGCCTGGAATCTGTGTCCTAACATGTTTTTTCAGGGTTCTGAAGACAGCACATGTCTCTCGTGCTCTCTCTCTCTCTCTCTCTCTCTCTCTCTCTCTCTCTCTCACACACACACACACACACACACACACACACACTCACAGAGAGGGGGACAGGCAGCGGTGGGGTGGGGAGGGCACATTTGTACAAGCATAAAGCTTTGGGGCTTGTCTTCTACTTCAGGACTCAAGTTACCCAGGCATCCACCAGGAGGACATGGCCCTCTCCCAGTACTACCAGGAGTGCAGAGGAACAAACTCCTGCCATCGGGGCCTCTCAGGCTCCTCCCGTCCTAACCCACCCTCACCCTACGCAGTCTGGGTTATATACTCACCAAAAAGTCTTCCTCACAGAATACTTTGCCGTTGACAAAATAGAAGGCTTTTCCTCTTAACTTCCTGCCTGAAGTAAAAACAGGAAGATGGGGTAAAAGGAAAAAGGTTAATTCATTATAAAGATAGTTTTAAAGAAAGGGCCCCTAGCTCTAACCACACAAGAGATGCCAACTGTTGATAGTTTTGCTATTAAAGGATAATACTAATTGGACGTGGTGCTGGACACCTATATCCTAGCATTTAAGAGGCAAAGACAGGAGGATCACCACAAGTTTGCCAGCCTACGTACGTAAATGCGTGACAGTGCCGCCCTCAGCAAAGAACAGACCACGTCCAGGAAGAAGGGCACCCTGACTGGTGCTGCTTAACAGAAAGACTTGGAGCCAACTTGGGGTTAACCGTACATCTCCTTCTAGGACTTCCTTTCTGCTTAGAAAAATGTCAGTGAACCTTGGTGACAGGACAGAGGAGACACAGGCCAGCACAGGGCACTGGCAGCAGCCTCTCCTGAGGCACTAAGGACTATAGTGGTTATATTATTTGTGTTTTAATAAATAAAGCTGGCCTGAAGATCAGAGGGCAAAGCAGTCACACTAGTCAGTCACACAGGCCAGGCAGGCAGTGGTGGTGCATACCTTTAATCCCAGCACTAGAGAGGAATTAAGATGCAAAAAGACAGCTCTCAGCTCAGTCTCAGTCTGAGGATTCATGGAGGCAGGATCACCATTTCAGTCTGAGGTAGAGGTAAGAGCCAGTGGCTGGCCGCTTTACTTTTCTGATCTTCAGCTTGAACCCCAAAATCTGTCTCTGGGTTTTTATTATTCGTGCTATAAAGGACAGTTACCCAGGACCTACTTGAGTAGGTCCCAGAGTGCTATAAAATGGTTAACTATAAACAACCATAAGGACTGGGCGGTGGTGGCACATGCCTTTAATCCCAGCACCAGGGAGGCAGAGGCAGGTGGATCGCTGTGAGTTCGAGGCCAGCCTGGTCTACAAGAGCTAGTTCCAGGGTAGGCTCCAAAACTACAGAGAAACCTTGTCTTTAAAAAAAAAAAGCCACAAGGGAAGGATTGTTGTGTTTTCTCTTGATATGAGTGGTGTGGTCTGGCATATGGGACTGCAAAGCATCAACTCTTAGATTAGACTTCTGATTCTACAAAACTGAAACACTGATTAGAAAAACATTCTCAGTTGGACAGTGGTGCCGGCCTTTAATCCCAGTACTCGGGAGGCAGAAGCGGGCAGATCTCTCTGAGTTCGAGGTCAGCCTGGTCTACAATGCAAGTTCCAAGACAATCAGGGATGTTAAACAGAGAAACCTTGCTTCAAAAAACAAACAAACATACAAAAGGAAAACATCCTCCTCAATCAATGTTTTTTGTTACAAATGAGTGAAAAACCAGGATGTATGATGTACTTCTAGTGTCCAACTGTAGACAGCCCGCAGGCTCCTGGAAGTCCCAAAAGCCTAATGACTTCTTGGCACTGGAGAGAATCAAGATCCTAGGGTCAAGGACCTAGCCTAACAGCAAGATCACCAGTGTCACAAAGCACGGTGGCACAGGCCAGTGTTCCCAGCACTGAGGAGGCTAAGGGGGGAGAAGGACTGAGTTAGAAGGAGGACGAGAAGCAGCGGCAGCAGTAGAGGCTGTCACGCTATCTTCACAATAATCTTGGTTATTAATAGCAGCCTAATATTATCACATACTATAAAGAGGTCAATTCCATCTGTACTCAAGAGGATGTAAATTAGAACCAGAATAAAATTCTATCTTTATCTAAAAAATTGGCAAAGTAATAAATCTGGCTGGGTGAAGCATACCTGTAACCCCAGCACCCAGTAGGAAGGCAGAGGCAGGAGGATCCGGAAGTTCAAATTCAGCCTAAGCTAGCCTGGAGTTAAGTTTGTAGACTAGGTTGGTCTCCAACTCACATTCTCCAGACTGCCTCCTGGGTGCTGGGATTAAAGCAGTGGGCCAACATACCCAGCAACAACAACAACCAAAAAAAAAAACTTTACCAAATCTGGTAACCACTGCAAGAGTATCCAGGAAGTAGCCACCCCGAGAGTCACCTGCCTGGAGCCAAAAGCCCTGAGATCCATGTGCACAAGGACACAACATGCTCTACAGATAAAAACAAAAGCACCTTCAATGCCGTGCAGATGGAAAAGCTATAAACCCAAGAAGGACTTATAATTATATTGAATGGATGTGACACTAAACATTGATCAAAGCTAAAAAACTGGATCTATAAATATCATTAATTAATCATGCAGTATCCAGAGGCTGACACTGGTCCTCCATCAAGTCACACACTGTTCACTAAGTCCTGGTCCAAGCTGATCTATAGAGTACTCCTCTTTCCATGATTAGTACTTGACTTCCCAGCGGATGAACCAGTTAGAGATGGAACCAAAGGTCACAGGAGCTGTGGTTGCAGGTGGAACACTAGAGGGAGTAAGGGTGTCACCAGGAAATAGGACTTCATCTTAAACACCAGCTCTGCCTTCAGGAGTCCAGGCTAGAAGTGCTCAGGAACCTGAGCTAGAAACCAATACTCGGTTTGAATAAGTGTAAAGGAGCTGGAGAGATGGCTCAGCAGTTAAGAGAACTTAATGCTCTTGGAGAGGACTCAGGTTCCATTCCCAGGCTCACAGCAAATAGTAACTCCAGTTCCAGGGAATCTAACACCCTCTTCCGGCCTCCGTGCGCACCAGGCATGAAGGTGGTACACATACTTACAAACATGTAAGCAAAACACCCATGTACATAAAAAATAGAGGAAAGAGTAGCTCTCTCCTAAAACCCATACAAACCATTACTATGCAAAAGTAAACAGAAATGGGGGGAGGGGCTGTAGCATCATCAAGGATTATGAAGTGTTCATGGTCCCTGTCACTGTATATTTTCCTAAGCTACTGAATAAAGTGTAAAGTGACAGACTCTTCCTGGAAAGGAAACTTTAAGATGTTTATCTTGACTCTATGAGGCTGAGACTTGGCTTTGGGACAGATTTTAAAAAATGTCGATAAATATTTACTCAAAGGAAGGATTACATAAAACACAGTGCATCTAACTGATGAGCTGTTATGTAGCCTTTTAAAATACCAGATGAATAATGCTTTAATGGCACCAGAAAATGTTTGTGCTATAAAAAGATAGAATACATCAGTGAGTGAAGACAGCAAGCTGGATGTGTGTATTCACAGCACGACTCCTTTCTGGAAGCACTCCACTGATACACAGCAGGAAGCGGGGGAATAGTGGCCAGTGGTGTTGGAAATTAACATGGAAATGCTACTTGATGTACTTCTAAAGTACTTGACAATTGGTATTAGGAAGTTCACTTTTGGCCGGGCAGTGGTGGTGCATGCTTTCAATCCCAAGCACTCGAGAGGCAAAGGCAGGCAGATCACTGTGAGTTCGAGGCCAGCCTGGTTTACAAAGCGAGTTCCAGGACAGTCAACCAGGGCTACACAGAGAAACCCTGTCACAAAAAACCAAACAAAAATTGTTTTATTTTTAGAATTATGTATAAAAATACTTATCTAATTTTTAAAAGGCCATGTTATTTATTTTTAAAAACATACTATGATGTGAAGAGAAAAAGAAAAGTAAGATTTAAATGTCCCAACCATGTAAAGAATCAATCCTCGAGCACCTGCAGAATGGATGGGTTTGTACTTTCTTCTTTCCCACGTTTCACCAAATGATTAACAACAGGCAGGCATTACTTTGATTTCTTTTTTTAAGACAAGGTCTGGCATGTAGCCCAGGTTGGTCCTGAACTCACCAGGTGGTAGCCCTGGATAGCCTTGACTATTAGGTACTGATCATCTTAAAAATCACCAGCTGGCAGCCAGGTGGTGGTGGTGCACGCCTTTAATCCCAGCACTCGGAAGGCAGAGGCAGGTGGATCTCTGTGAATTTGAGGCCAGCCTGGTCTATAAGAGCTAGTTCCAGGACAGGTTCCAATACAATAAAACCCCATCTCGAAAAACAAAACAACACAACAACAACAAAAAAAAACCAAACTACTAACCAACAAACAAAACACCAGCTGACTAGACAATTGCTCTTCCTGCCAGCCCTGGGCTGAAAAGTCTTGTGCCCAGACAGGAAGGGTCAGGGAAAAGCTCAGAGGCTACTTGTTCTCTGTGTCTGGTTTTTCTCTACTCTCAATTTAAACGTTAAGCACCCCAGAGACCCAAGAGGGTAGAAATGGGTCCTCACTTCAGTTTAAAAACCAGATACAGCCTTCAAATTTATTTGCTTCAAATTTATTTGCTTGTTCTCTGTCAGAGTGAAGAAAAAAAATACCACCTGCCTATTGTCTTTTATGTGTCAAGGTTTTTCTGGAGTCTTTGTATAGTTTTTCTAATTTTTAAAGATTTGTTTTTTATTTTTAAAAATTTTATGTACGTGTGTGTGTGTGTGTGCGTGTGTGTGTGTGTGTGTGCGTGCGTGTGTGTGTGTATGTATGTATGCCATGCATTAAGGACCCAGGGAGGTCGATGGTTATTAGATCCACTGGAGCTAGAAGTGCAGGCAGTTATGAGCTGCCTAAAATATGTGCTAGGACTGAACTCAGGTCCTTAGAAACAGCAGTGAGTGCTCTGCACCCCGATGTGCTTGGCCCAAGCTTTGTATATCATCACAAGCTTTGTATATCATCACAAGCTTTGTATATCACAAGCTTTGTATATCATCACAGCTTTGTATATCACAAGCTTTGTATATCATCACAAGCTTTGTATATCACAAGCTTTGTATATCATCACAAGCATTGTAAGGCACAACTGTGAGCCTCGTTGCACGTGTCCACTGCTGACTCTGTCTTGTCACCTGCCTTCCAGAGAACTAACAGTTGTTTTCTGCTCAAACTCATCTTCTACTCCAGGTTCTGGGTTAGGGGAAGGATTTACTAGAGTGAAGCAGAAATAAAATGCATGCCTATTACTATCCATGAACACAGTGGCAATACCAGAATGGATCCCTTCTGGGAGTATCATGAAACCACACCTCAAGATCACTCTCAACGCTGGGGGTTTCCTTTTCTTCT